GGAGTAGCGCGCTACGACAGCGTCATACAAAGACTTAGCAGTCTTGTACTGGCCAAAGTGCGCGCGCTCAGCAGACGGCAGGTGACTACGAACAGCAAGGCGAGCAACAGCGTCACGAGTAGTCCACTGCGAGCGAACCGTACGGTCAGCAGTGGCAGCAGGTGCAGGAGAGACGCTGTGGACGTGTGATCGAAAAGCGAGACTCCGTCCTTAGAGTCGCACTGAGGAAAGAGCTGCAGGTCATCTACCCAAACGTCGAAGTCAACCGCACGACCCTCAGCATCAAAGGTAAGAACATTAGGGCTAGCCATGGCGGCAGTAGCAGCAGTAGCAGCAGTAGCAGCAGTAGCATCAGAAGCAGCAGTAGCAGCAGGAACAGCTGCAGTAGCAGGGGCAGCGCAGGCAGGGCAGCGCGGCTCAGTAGGGCAGGGCGGCGCGGCTCGGTAGGGCGGCGCGGCTCGGTAGGGCGGCGCGGCTCGGCAGGGAAGCGCGGCTCGGCTAGGCGGCGCGGCTCGGCTGGGCGGCGCAGCGCGGCAGGCAGGCGGGCGCTTACCAGGGGCGGGTGCAGGGCAGGGCCGCAGCTGGCGGTTAGGTCAGGGCCGCGACTAGGGCGGCTGTAGGGCAGGGCCGCGACGAGGCGGCGGCAGAGCAGGGCCGCGACGGGGCGGCAGCAGGGCAGGGCCGCTACAAGGCGGCTGCAGGGCAGGGCCGCGACAGGGCGGCGGTAGAGCAGGGCCGCGACAAGCGGCTGAGGGCAGGGCCGCGACGGGTGGCGGCAGAGCAGGGCCGGGACGGGCGGCGAGATCAGGGCCGCAACCGGAGCGGCAGGGCAGGGCCGCGACGGGCGGCTAGGGCAGGCCGCGACGGGCGGCTAGGTCAGGCCGCGACGGGCGGCGACCGGGCAGAGCCGCGACGGGCGGCAAGGTCAGGGCCGCGACGGGCCGGGAAGGCAGGGCCGCGACGGGCGGTAGTAGGGCAGGGCGCGCGACGGCGCAGGTGAGGCAGGCGCGAGGCGCGCTTCGGGCAGGGCAGGGAAAAAAAAATTCATCGTGGTGGGCCCTAAAAAAAACGTTCCCACTAGGGAACCTGCTCTGAAACCATGTCAGAATTGAGAAGGAAAGAATGGCTAGAAAGAGAGCAGTACAAGGTTTGTATAGGCAAAACCTAATTTGGGCTGTACCCCATGAGGAGTGCCCCACTACAGCCTAGAGCATACATGCATAGTTCTGACAGGGGACGCCGACCTGAGCGTCTGGACGGCGTCCTGGGCGCCTGGACGCCGACCTGGGCACCTGGACGGCGTCCTGGGCGTCTGGACGCCGACCTGGGCGTCAGGACGCCGACCTGGGCGCCAGGACGTCGACCTGGGAGGACGCCGACCTAATGGCGTCCACCTGGTTGCCCGGCGACTCAGTTACCCGGACGACGGGCACTGCGGGGTGCGCGAGAGTCGTCCAGGAGGTTACGGCGAAGCCGACCTCGGTGTGGTATCCCGAGGTCGACGTGGAGGATCAGATGCAGTCGTGGGCACACGATCAGCTTGGCATCTGCGCTGTCAACGTGACAAGGCACAGCACGCCAACCAGATGCGAGCACCTGCGAAGCAGGTGCGCTGCTGTCCTGCGGGAGCATCGCTGTGCAGCCGCCTTGCTGCAGCGTTGTCTCGCCGTCGACTTGCAGCGTTGGCAGGCCGCGACTTTGCGCTGTTGGAGCGCGGTCGACCATGCAGTGCTGGAACGCGGTCGACCGTGCTGCGCTGGCAGTCGACCTGCATGCTTGCTAGCATCTGATGTAGTCCATTGTTGCTTTGCATTGTGTACCATTGTTGTGAACTTTTGCTAGTGAAACTCATGCCAAATTTCCCCGTGAACGTGCAAGCAGTGAGAACACAGGCAAACAACTAAGGAACGCATAGATCACTCCTAACACCCCGTGCCTTCCCCGTAGCGAAGCTCCCGTTAATAGAGTTATCTCCGCAAATTCAAGAGGAAACAAAAGGGACGCTCGCAGGGGTTGCATGCCATATTCATAGTCACGTATGCACTGCATCTATAGTGAGCAACAAGGGGGGAGAACATTGGAGAGTCAGTGTGAGAGAGGCACGGAGGTAAGGAAGGGTTGGGTGTGAGAAACAAGGGGTTGAGAGCATGTTGAGCATCGGAGCGGGGTTTGGAGTTGAGGGTTCGATCGAAGTGTGACAGGACAAGGGTGCTTGAAACAGATGGAAACAACAGGCGGAGGAACAGATAGTGAATTACTCCTCATCATGCTGCTTGTTAGTGTGAATTGTTGTGCTCTTGTACGTAAAATATGAGAATGTTCTTAAGGAGACTTTGAGTCTGGCTAGCAAGTCAACCATGAGTTCCTCCTCATCATGCTGATTGTTGGTGTCAAAAGTCGTGCTCTTGTACACAAACATGAGAATGTTCCTAAGGTTACTTACTCGCCATCCTGCTGCTCGTTGGTGTCAATCGACGTGCTCTTGTACGCAAATATGAGAATGTTCTTAATGTGACTTTGAGTTTGACTCAAAATTCAACCATGACTTACTCCTCATCATGCTGGTCGTTAGTGTCAGATGATGCGCCCTTCTCGAACGATGTGCCCTCCTGGACAAAACAATATATCAAGCCGAGCACGTCACCGTTCGCCGCCACGATACTGTTCACACCGAAGAAGGATGGGGGCCTACGTATGTGCATCGACTACAATTCATTGAATTAGGTGACGATCAAGTCGCATTACCCCGATCCCGCGAGTCGGCAATCCGTTGGATCAGCTTCGCAGTGCTCGTTTCTTCTAGAAAGTCGATCTGCAATGCAGTTACTATCAAATCTCATTGTTTGCTGACGATTTCTCAAATCGAGCTCCTTGCACACACTAAGAATGTTCCCCATGTCTGCTGGCGTTTCGTTGCTTCTCATACTATTTCCACTACCCGACTCCCTGGCTCTTTCCCTCCTCTGGGCATTCACGCTTACGATGGTCGGGCCTGTTGCACACAAGCAGCAACCTCAAAATGGCGTGACAGTAGCATTCGCGGTAACAGCTCGCACCGTGACGTGCTCAGCTGTCCCTCGAGTTTGATGCCCGTAGTTAGAGGGCCCCTATTTCGATCGTCGCAACGCAACCGATCCGGCTTCTCCGTCATCGGGAGGATGCCACTGAAGTTGGTGGCACCGCATAGCAATATCTCTTGTGAAATTTTAAGCTTCAGCCCCCCGACGTAGCGATTGACACGCTCCACTTGTAGCCCACTTGCTGCACAACGCCATAAATCCGCTCGTGTAGTCCTGGACCGATCCAAGCTGTCGCCAAGTTCGCAGCTTCTGGCGTGCCAAATTTGATGCCACAATTAGTTCGAAACGCTTGCGAAGACCTGCGCTCCATGCATTCCACGTGCGGAATTGGATTATTTTGCAGAATGAGGTCGCTTAAAGCTGCGGCCTACATACTTGGAGCGGTGAGGGAAGGATTATCACTTGAAAACAGGGTAACTTTGTCCCTCCAAGGACCCCCTGCGGAGAAACGAACAATCGAGGGGGGTGGAGGGGGGGGCCTGGGGGTTCAGGTTAGAACTTGACCCACTCTGTTTACCAAAACTGAGAGCCAGACTTCCACTCGACAACCAGCTTCCAATACGTAGTTTACAGATATTAGTCGCCAATGAAAACCAGCGACGCCCATCCCTGCCACTGCGTTCTAGCGACTCCGTCCGCATTGGCCGCCAACCACTTGCTGTTCCGTGCTCTCCAATCCCCCTTTCTTCTCCGCGCTCTCTGCCGCATTTTCCCAACGCAATCCGTCGACTTCTGCTCTGCGCTCATCGTCGCGTTCTGCTTGTCTCGTCGCCGCGCTGCGTACCCGTCGTCCTCCCTGCTTTCAGCGTCGCCGCGGGCTGCCGCGCTTAGGGTAGGGGCTTTCGTAAAGTCGCTTTTGCCTCTTCGCTCTGGCCTCGTCGCTTTCTCCTCGTCGCTTTCGCCACATCGCTTTCGCCTCGTCAACAACTCCTCTTCGCGGTTGCCTCTACGCTTTTGCCTCGTCGCTTTCTCCTCGCCGCTTTCGCCTCGTTGCTTTCGCTTGCAACAAGGCGGTGATCTCGTCGTTTTCAGCTCCCCGATATCCGCCTCTCCGCTCCTCGTCGCTGGCCGATCGTAGCGCCATTCAAGTCACCATTCATCGCCATGTTAATTTTATTCCTCGTCTAATGCTCGCCCTTGGCCCTCTTTGTCGCGTTCCGCGTCGCCTTCCGCCTGCGACTCGAAGCGCGACTCACGCCGCTAGTCGGCTGGTGTCGCAGCTTCCACTCTGCCTCGGTCGTCGCAGAACCGGCGTTGCTCGTTGCTCATTGCTCGATGCGAGTCGCTTTCTGCTGTCACACTTACCTTCCCTCACTCCCATTACCTCCCTCCCTCTCCGCAGGCAAAATCCCCGCTCTCCTGCTGCGGGTAAAACGTGTCCGGGCCTCCTCTCTTCCCTGTCCTCTCTCCCCTCCCTGCCCTCTCTTCCATGTCCTCTCTTCCATGTCCTCTCTTCCTTCCCTGTCCTCTCTTCCCTCTCTGTCCTCTCTTCCCTCCATGTCCTCTCTTCCCTCCCTATTCTCTCTTCCCTCTCTGCCCTCTCATCCCTCCCTTATTTCTCTTTCCTCCCTAATTGTTCTTCCCTCCCTGTTCTCTCTTCCCTCCCTGATTTTTATTCCCTTTCTGATTTCTCTTCCCTCTCTGCCCTTTGTTCTGTGGTGCAGCTCATCATGCATGATGCAACCAAACAGACAAGTTACCGGTAGTTAGATTTAGGATAGTGTGGTGTCTTCCCTTGCCGTATCATAACATCAAATACTAGTACCGTGGGTTGTTCACAGAATAACGAATATATTTAGGGTTTTACATGTAATAATGGCATTGGTCTGTGTGTGGGTATTTGTTGTGGTCTCCCTCTGTTGCAACACTGAACAGCTGAGTGGTGAGACTCATGCTATGCCTTGTCTTGCTGCAGTCAACTCAGGCCCAAACAGGTAGGAAGGAGGAGAGGCTGTGCAGTGCGTGTGTAGGCAGGGCGAGTGGAGAGGCCACTCCTGCCTGCATCCCCGCCCATGCCCTAAAGGAAGGCAGCTGCGCAGCTCTGATAGCTGCAGCAAGGGAAAAGGAGTGGGGAAAGAGGGGGAAAGGAGGGGGAAAGGAAGGGCAGAGGATGGGGGGTGAAGGGGGAGCGAAGGCAGAACAGAGGGGAAACAGAAGAAAGGGAGGAAAAGGAGGGCAAGAGGAGGGAGAAAGATGGGGAAAAGGAAGGGGGAGTGAGGGAGAGAGTTGGGGGGGCATGAGTTAGATGTGCAAGTCCGGTGGGTAAGGAACGGGCAGAGGAGAAGGGGATTCACGGGTGCGTGTGAGCGCAGGTGAGTTCCAGATGTACTTCCCTCCCACTACCCGCACCCGCCACGCCTATGCCTCTCGCACACACATTGCTGCGACGGGACTCATGCCACCTCACTCACCACGAGCGCACTCACCACTATGGGAGGACAGAGAGGAATGGGAGGAGAGGAGGAGTTCGGGAGGGATGCTGGAAGGCGCTGGCATGTGAATGTGCGCATCCCGGCACTTCGTCAAACGCGCAGCTGGCGGTTCCGTGTCGGTCACGCGGCTGCAGGCGCGGGTGGCGGAAGGGCGTAGGGGGGAAACCAGGAGAGAAAGTAGTGGGGAACTGCGGAAGAAAAGGGTGAAACGAGGGGAAGGAGGGATGGTAATGAGGGGTTGGAGGGGGGAAATGGGGGGAAGGAGGAGGGGACATGAGGGAAAGAAGGGGGAGAGGGGAGGGAGGAGATAGAAAGAGTGGAAGGGAGGTGCGACCTGGAGGGGAAGGGAGGTGCGACCTGGGGGGGGAAGGGAGGTGCGACCTGGGGGGGAAAGGGAGGTGCGACCTGGGGGGGGAAGGGAGGTGCGACCTGGGGGGGAAAGGGAGGTGGGAGCGGTGCAGAACTAAAAAAATGGATCATACGGGAAGGTAATTGAAGGGAGGGGTCCGGGAGACATGGGGAGGCAGGGAGGTGAGATGGGGAGGTCCCGGCACAGTGAGGGGAGTGGGGAGGTGGGAGGAAGACACGGGGAGGAGAGGATGACAGGGGGAGAAAGGAGGACAGGGGGGAGAGAGGATGACAGGGGGGAACGGAAACGGGGGGGAGGGAGACGGGGGAAGGGAAATGGGGAGAAGGGAAACGGGGTGAAGGAAGAGGGGGGGACGGGAAATGGAGGGAAGGGAAATGTGGGAAAGGGCAACGGGGGGTAGGGAAACGGGGGGAAGGTAAACGGGGGGAAGGTAAACGGGGGGGAGGGAAGCGGGGGGAAGGTAAACGGGGGGAAGGGAAGCGGGGGGAAGGGAAGCGGGGTTGAGGGAAAAGGGAGGACAGGAAGAGGGGGGACGGGAAAAGGGGGGACGGGAAAAAGGAGGGGCGGGAAAAAAAGGGGGACGGGAAGTGGGGGGAAGGGAAACGGGGGGAAGGGAGATGAGGGAAAGGTATGAGAGGGGTAGGGTAACGGGAAGAAGGGATATGGGGGGAAGGGAAACGGGGGGAAGGGAAACGGGCGGGGGGGGGGAAATCGTGGGAGGGGAAACGGGGGGGAGGGAAACGGGGGGAAGGGCGACGGGGGGGAGGGAAACGGGGGGAGGGGAAACGGGGGGAAGGGAAACGGGGGGAAGGGAAACGGGGGGAAGGGAAACGGGGGGAAGGGAAACGGAGAGAAGGGAGATTGGGGGGACGGGAAGTGGGGGAGAGGGGAACGGTGGCAAGGGAAACGGGGGCGGGAAATGGGGGGAATGGATATGGGGTGGAGGGAAACGGGAGAAGGGAAACGAGGGGATGACGGGCTGGAGGAGGAGAGGAAGGGCGTACAGAGGGGAGGACGGGATGAGAGAGGACAGCGTGAACAGAGGAGGACTGCGTGGGGGCGGAGGACAGGGGGGAGAGAGGAGGACGGGGGGAGAGAGGAGGACCGGGGGAGAGGGGAGGACAGGGGGGAGAGGGGAGGACAGGGGGGAGAGGGGAGGATTGGGGGGAGAGGGGAGGACAGGGGGGAGAGGGGAGGACAGGGGGGAGAGGGGAGGATTGGGGGGAGAGGGGAGGACAGGGGGGAGGGGAGGACAGGGGTACAGAGGAGGCCAGGGGGGATAGGTGCAGGGGATTGAAGGGATTCGGAGGAATGCCCCTGTTCGTGTGAGCGCAGTTGAGTGCGAGATGAACTTCCCACTCTAAACCCGCGCTCGCCAACCCTGACGCGCCTTGCACCCACGCGTCTGCCACGGAACGCCTGCCACCTCACTCACCACGGACGCACTCACCACAACCTCATGTCTAGAGGTGGACGTTCGGATGGATGGGACAAGGCGTTGGCGCGCGAATGGGGGGAAAACAAGCGAAAGTAGTAGGGAAATGGGGAAGACAATGGTGAAATGAGGGGAAGCAGGGATGGGAATGAGGGCATGGAGGGGGGAAACGGCGGGATAGAGGGGATTACTTGAGGGAAAGAAGGGGGGGGAGGGAAGGGAGGAGATAAAATGTGCTGAGGGCGGGGTTGGAAGGAACATGGGGGTGAGGGACGGGAGGAGGTTGGAGGAGGTGCGACCTGGGGGGGAAATGGGAGGTGCGACCTGGGGGGGAAAAGGGAGGTGCGACCTGGGGGCCACGAGGTGCGACCCTAGCAGGGATTGCGGTCGCCGAGTGTGGTGGCGTGGGAAAGGCACTACTACACGCACACATAGCGCGAATAGCGATTGTGAGCGGGGTGGCGTGAAACCCGCAGTACGAGTGACGCTACTAGCGGGAATAGCGGCTCTTAGCGTGGTGACGTGACCCTAAACCCGCAAGCGGGCATTGCGGCTTAGCGTGGTGGCGTGAAGAATCCGCTACGCTCGCGCGCACCTGGCCGGAAGCGGGGATTTCGATTAGGGATGGCGTGAAACAGACGTTACGCGATACGCTGCTACTAGGAATAGCGGCTACTAGAGTGGCTGCGTGACACAAACCGAAGCACTACGCGCAACGGGCGAATTTCGTGGCAAGGGCGCGGTGGCGTGTAATATTCTGCTGCACTGCCTGCAGTTAGCTTCATTGCAGTCCAGAGCTGTATGGAGTAGGTTGCATACTCTGTATATTGGGCTTGGTTGTTTGAGTTGGGCGCAGGCTCTTCCGCATTTCCGCGGATTACTTCCCCCAGGCAAACCCGCTGACGAAATTGTTTGTCATCGCCTTCGGTGCTTGAATTCATCGCACTGGTGTTTGAGGTCGAAGCTCAATTCGCTGTCGAATCATATTATGCCAAAGGGTGTGCACTTAGATTAGACCCAGAAAATCCCTTTTAGAATGTAGCACCGCAGCTTTAATGGATTGTATGCCCGGAAGGTCCATCCCATTGCGGTAGTGGTTCGTGGTCACTCGGCAAGGTGACAATCATATACCACCAATCCATTACGGGTCCCCATAGCAATGACACGGCATAGCATGTTTTTTTCAGAATCTGACGTAACGTAACGTGCGTCGAAAAAAAAATATTCATCGTTGATCCGGGTTGAAGCATGGGAAATAATTTGGCTTAAGCAGCATGGTCATCGCATCGTCGTCGGATTTGGTCGCAATATTGACGCGACAATGGTTTCCATGGAGCGTTTTATCCTCAGTCGTCTCCTTGGGGTGTGTCATAACGGGTATCTCGCGAGATTCTCGCACGGCGCCGATCGAGCAATTTCCCATGCTTTCATGTCGGGACGATGTTGTTGTTGCAGCAGCTGCTGTTGGTGCAGGTGCGGGTGCATGATTCGATGTGCGTTGGAGCAATTGTTTTTCTGCAGGGCGATATCCAATGTCGTACAATTGTTGTGTTACTTTATCGAGACGCTCATGCATGAGCTCGATGGTGTTAATGCGTTCTGCCATTTCGAAGGGCGTCGACGTATCTAGCGACTATACACAGTTGTGCATGTACGTGCTTGCGAAAGAGTATGAGGACAACGGCTCTTAGTGCGCTGAGATTCGTTCGCTCTTTCGAGTGAAAAATGCCGAGAGGGGTTGGAAGCGAGTATGCGATACAAAAAGATGAAGGCCATGGAGATCAAGTATGACGTGTGCGGTTGAACAAACAAGAGAGGATTGCACCAAGGGTTCACGAAATAGCAGCAGCGAGGCTATGCAATAATAGCAGGGGGGCTCGGGCTAGTCGTAAAGCTTAGGCCAACGCGACCTTATACAGCACTACAAGGTTTGGTAAAAACTGGGGCGCAATCTAACGACCTCAGGCAGCTGGTAACAGCCGGATATAGGAACATTCGGTTAGAGAGCCCCGCGGATCTTACCGTAGTTACCCGACTCATACACCCTGGGGTTTTATCCTACATGGGTAAAGTTAAGGGGTATATCTATTATCTGGGTATAAATGCATTAGACCTGGAGACTAATCCAGTGTGTTATATTTTCTTCGTAATCCCAGTCAAAAGCTAGCGTTACAACTTGAAATGCACATTTCCAGTATCGCTTCAGGGGCGAATTCGACCATGCGCTGGCGCGAGACCAGCTCGTGGCGATTGGCTGCTGCCAGCTGGTGTTTTGGGGTGCCTTTATTTTTTTCCTCCGGCAGTTTCACTCGATAAGGTAATGTTTACAGAAAGGGGGGTGTAATGCGGATTCTGCTAGAAATACTCAAGGATCGAATTGGACGGGAGAAGGCTGCTGGAATTGTTAAGACAACGGAAGTTTTGTAGGTGACCTTGTTCATAGTGAATGTAAATGACAAGATGCTTATAATAAAGCATTACCGTACAATGAAAAGGACAGTCCTAGCTAGGCATGTACTCTGAGGGGTACATTCCCTTATTGTATTACAGGCATTGCTACAGTTACGATGACTATTGCAATCATTGCGGTTACCTTGTGCAGCATGTAACCTCCGAAGTCGATTGCGTCCTTCGAAGCAGGTCGCAACCTCCAGTCTAGGATGGTCAATAGTCGGGACAGTTGACCCCCGACTGTTGACCTTTCCAGCTAGTGCGTGCTCTATATGAGCTAACGCGGTAGTGGTACAAGCGCAGTCTCGTTATGAGACATTGCGCTATGGCAATACCTTTGAGAATGCCGTCATAACCTTTTGGTTATTCCAAGAATGCTCTTCATTCCCGAAGGTATGGCACGTGGGTCTACTTGGTGACTCCTAAACCCTAAACCCTAATGAAGAGCGATGTGTTTCGGGCGATTCACGAAGTCGGGCTTGTTGGCGATTTTGATCGCGCTCTGGTTGTCGCAGAGTAACTTGAAGGACCCGTTCATCGTCACCTTAGCTTCCTGTAGAAGTTCAATAAGGTAAAGTCATTCGTGAACAGCTGCGTTGGCGGTGATGAATTCAGCTGCGGGTGACGAAAGGGCGATGAGCTCCTGCTTTTGTGAGTTCAGGAGATGGGAACAACGAGTTCAAGTTGAAAAAGGAATCCAGTGCGGGAGCGACTGTTTTCAGCATCTCTTGTGTGATCAGCGTCAACATAGCCTTTTAGCTAGAGAGTGGCGGTTAGATTCACTGTGTAGGTTAGTCCGCCGTCGGACGTTGAGATGAAGTACTGCAATGCTCGACGTAGGTCCGCCATATTCTCCCCTTCAGGCCGGCGCAGGTACTAGGCGAGCTGGCTGGCAACGTAGGACAGGTCCGGACGGCAAGTGACCGTGGATAGCAGGCATCCGAGCTGGTGCTAGTAGAAACAATGATCGGCCGCAGAGAGGGGCATGGTATCGGGGGTGTGTCCGGGCGGTGGAGTGCGGAATGGGGTGCTCAGGTTGATGGGGGCGGTTCCGAACATCTTCGCGAGAGTTTCGGCGTATTTGGCGGCTGAGAAGTGAATAGTTTCGGCAGACTGTGTAATGTTGAGTCCTAGGAACTGGGCAAAGGAGTGCGATATAGTCATATCCAGCTTCTCCTGGATGTTCTTCTCGAAGCGATCGAGGAGCTCCGCGCTAGTCCCGGTGTAGAGCAAGTTGTCGACGTAGGCGACGAGGAGAATGTAGTTTCCACGGGACTCCAGTCGGTACACACCCTAGTCATGCAAAAGCTGATGGAAGCAAAGCTCAATGAGGATTTTGTGGAGGTACCACTGCCACAGGCGCGGTGCCTACTTGATGCCATAGAGGGATTTCTGGAGCGGGACATCTTAGTCTCGTTTTCTTTGAATGCATGCGGCTGTTTGACGTATATTATCGCGGCTATTGGAGATGTCGATCTGACAGATGTTTGACGGCGGTGATGCAAAGGAGGATGCGAATGGAGGTGTGGCATCCGACGGGGGCGAAGCCTATGAATTGAGTTTGCTCGAAGCCGGGCACGACCCATCGTGCCTTGTATTTTTCGATGGAGCCGTCTGTCTTTGTCTTGATGCGGAACACCCATTTGCTGTTGATGATTTTCTCCCCTTCGTTGCTGAGCATGGAGCCATCTTCCATGTCCCGCGTCGATTAAGTGCTTCCACCTTCGCAGTCATAGCTTCCCTCCATTTCTCCCACTCTGGTCGTTGCAGGGCTTGGCGCACTGTGGTGGGCTCGGTGGGGTGTTGTGTTTCGCGAACAGCTACGGTGAGTCCAATAACGCGTAACCCGATGGTAATGAGGAAATGGCGGGGGTGTGCTTCGTCGCCACTGGTGACTTCCACGACGTCGTCATCTTCGTGGTCACTAGGGTCTTCGCGTACACTGTCACGGAAAGTGTCTCGGTCTAGAACTTCTTCCATCGGTGAGTTGTTGTCGTTTGGGTCGAGTTTAAACATGGGGATGAATGGCGGTGTGTTGAAGATGCGTGAAACGGGGATGATGGGTGGTTCGTTGGTGGTTGGATCCTTGGGGATGTCTTCCGTCACGTCAGCTTTGTCGTGATCTGTCGCGAAGTTGTGCTCCCCTTGGAAGGTGTTGTCTGGTGCTGCTTGTGATGTGCGGCGTTGTACTGGTGGGCGGAAAAGTCAAGGATGGTCCACACGTAGTACTCCGTTTTGATTCCGTGGTGAATTCCCCATCTTGTTCGGTCTTCAAAATGATCAGATCCTTGCAGTGTGGGGACGGTACTGGACCATGCACCCAAACACTGGTGTCGGGGTTTTCTTTTGTCCATGCATTGAACGGGGAGATGTTGTTGGGCAGGACCTTTGAAGACAATATGTTGTGCAGATGAACAGCATGGGCCATCGCGAAGGGCCAATGGCTAGTTGGCACATCTGACTACTTCATGAGGGCCCTCATGTGTGTTGCTAGGCTCTTGTTGGTTCTCTCAGCTAAACCTTGCTGCTCGTGAGCGTAGGGTAGTGAGATCATCCGCTGGATGCCCTTCTCAGAGCAGAAGTCACGGAAATAGTTGGAGCGGTGTTCCAGTTCCTCGTCAGTCCGGGACGCATTTAGATTCTGCTTCGATTGTTGCTGTGCCATTTTTAGCCAGAAGAAGAACCAGTCAAATGCTTTGTGACGAGCATCGAGATTAGTTGCCCAGACGAACTGAGTGCCGGCATTGATGAAATTCATCGTGTAGTACTCCCCTTTAATTCCTTGAGACGTTAAGCACAGAAAGTCGATGTGGACTTTGCCGAGCGGCTCAAACCATTCCTGTCCATGAATATTTTCAGGGAAAGGAGAGTGTGCCAGGGCAGCTTTAGGGTACTGTGTGCAAACGTGTGGCTGCGCGCAAGGCTGAATCTGCTCTTCATGGGGCAAAAATTCCCGTGTTGATTGATTTGTTTAGGAATTCCACTTAAGGATGGCCTAACCTATGATGCCAGATGCCTGCTGACGCTCCATGTCCTCGTGTTCAAGCGTAACGACAAGCCTCTCGTGCTGACCGTTCCTACTCGCTTGTTCCAGGTGTTCTGGCGGCATCTGTAGTGACATTGGCGGCGAAGGCCTGGACGCCGGCTGCGTGGAGGATGTCAAGATTGGTTCCCTCGACTCCAGCGAATTCGGCAACGTGTCCGGCGGTTATTTCATCAAGCGTCACTGGGAGCAGCTCTGGTCCTTGTTAAGGTGGAGGCGCTTCCTCTTCAGCTCTGGGTGCTTCTTCCTCAAGGCAACTAGTTGCTTCTTCTGCTTCTTCTGGAGTGTCGCCAATCGCTGCTCCCCCTGTGTCGAGGCGGAAATAATGGTTTCCGACAATGGTGACGGAGATTAGATGGGGTCCGTACTTGGGCGACGGCGCTTCTTCTTCTGGAGCAGGTAAGTCAGTTGCATGTCGAGTGATGTCAATCGGTTCTGGCACTGTTCCCCAACCCCATCCTCCTTGGCTTGTTGTCTCTTCCTCCACCCCTTGTGGTCCGGCGTCTCCAGGAGTTGAGGTTGAAGCAACAGGGACGGCAAGTGATCAGCATAGCCCATCTGGTCCAGGGCCCTCCATATCTGTTTCTTCTGGATGTGTTCATCCTGGTGGCGATTCTTGGCCCGGACTTTCAAGTACGAGGATGCGGTGGCAGTCGTCGATGGTGCCAGGTACGTCAAAGTTTAAGATAAGAACTCTGTTGTCATTTCTTGCCTTCCAAATGAGAGTTCCTTTGTAAATAAAGTGAAACTCCATTTCGTGTGAGTGCAGTTCGACACCGCACCTCATCAGCTGGGCAATTGAGAGAAATTTGAAGTGAAGGTCCTCGACGATGAGCACGTCACTGATGTGGATTGAGAAGTTCGTTTCGTTCGACTCAAGTTGGATCTTGCCGCTCTCCTTCGCCCACAGCGTGTTATCACTGACGTCGGTGACTTCGACATCAAAGCCGGGGTCCTTCCTGATTAAGATGAAGCGTGGGGAGCCCACCATGTGCTGCCCACAGCAACTACCCAGGTACCAAGTATTGATGTCGCATCTTTCCTCTCTTTCTATGGCGATGAGGGGTGTGACGTGATGTTCCAGGTCAGCCTTGTAGTTCAAATCTATGTCG